TACAGATTTCGTTCTGAGGATTTAGAAAGAAATATAAGAACATTTTCCTGTACTGGCTGAGGTAACGAAGAAAACTGTTATTGTGGCAGCTTTCTAAACATTATACATACTTCTCAAAGAACAGATATTCCAATAAGGAAAATAAAATTGAGTAGAAAATATTCAAAATGGATCAACAGAAAGGAATTTATAGGCGTATGAAGAGAAGAAAGAGCAATCTTGTGAGCCATAATATTCACAACGAAATAGAAGTTAAAACAGAGTTAAGAAAAGCTAAATCATACTATGAAATTAATGATGAAAAAGTTCAAAGCAAATTCGAAAAGTTTTGCAAAAATATATAACAAAAGTTAGAGAAAAAATTAGGTTCACATAAACAAATTATGTAATATCATAGACACTAGGGCTATAATTATTATTCAGATTGAACTTTTTTCAAGAAATATTTAAGTATGCAACATAGAACTTAGTGAACCACCAACTAACTTTGCCATTATATGTAGTTCCTATCTTTAAATCAAGGGATAAGTCATTAATTTCTGATTACTGCTCATTAAGTCTGAGCTCGGTAGATACCTGGAGAGCTTGCCTTGAGAGGGCTTCTGGGGTCAACGCCCCCGCGGCCCAGTCTGACACCAGGCTTCGTGATGGATCAGGGTCTGATCAACTAGGCTGTTACTGCTGGCAGCACGTAAACCAACGTACGAACCACAGCCTGGCCGATCAGGTACTGATTACAGGTGTCTGTGCAGCGCCTTCTTGAAGACAGCCAGGGTCTATTGGTAATCTCCCTTATGTATGCTGGAAGGCAGTTGAATAGTCTTGGGCCCGTGACACTGAATTTGGTGTCTCTTAGTGTACTCATGGCACCCCTGCTTTTCACTGAGGGAATGTTGCATCTAATGCCGAGTCTTTTGCTTTCGTAGGGAGTGACTTTCGTGTAGGATTTTCCAAGTGTATATTATCATGTATCAACCGTTCCCAGTAATTTAGGTGTTGTATCATACTTCGTAGATGTGTGCCGTGAAAGTTCTCTGTACATACTCTAGGTCAGCAATTTCATCTGCCTTGAAGGCGGCAGTTACTGTACAGCAGTATTCCACCCTAGAAGAACAAGTGATCTGAAGAGAATCATCATGAGCTTGGCGTCCCTAGTTTTGAAGGTTCTCATTATCCATCCGATCATTTTTCTACCTGATGAGGTAGACACATTGTTGTGGCAAATTATGTTAATTAGCGCCATTATAATAAAATATTCTTCTTGAAGAGCATAATTTGATTCATGAGGCACAACACGGATTCACAAGAAGCCTTTCCAACCTAGCAGAATTAATGATCATTTTTATTTGAGGAAGTAAATCAAAATAACGGAAGTAAAAGTTGTCATGGTGCGGTAAACCAGTTGGGAGCAGACAGTGCTTAAAGAGACTAAATCAAGAGCTTACCTGGACAGAATTTCGGGGGCAACGCCCCCGCGGCTCGGTAGGGACAAATCCTAAGTTTCATTCAAAAGGATCATTCTTAGGCCCATTTTTGTTAAGAATTTACATTAAAGATTTTGACGAGGAAATAACGGATGACAGTAGGAAATTCACAGGCGTCACAAAAATAGGCCGACTTGGACATGCTAATGTTGTGATCCAAATAGTGACAGATGCAGTTCAGTGTAGGTAATCCTGGCTCATATAAACTTAATAATAACGAACTTGACCATATAAAAAATATGAAAAGGACTTGAGAGCTATGGTAAGCAGAAATATGAACCTAAGAGTTAGTAATACGGCTGTCAGATTACGCTGATTTATATCAAGAAGAGTAAATTAAAAAAGTTCGTTTATTTATATAGGTTAGTTTTGGTATCCATACTACGGAATAGAAGCAAATGCGTTGAAGTACATAGAACAAAAGGAGGATTTAGTAATCTGAACCTCCATTCTCTTGAAAAATCAAGTTTGACTTGATTGAAGAATACAAGTGGAAAATGAGCATTAATAAAAAAGGTATTAATAGGATACCGAGAATGCCTATCCAATAAAGAACTGGATGTAATGAATTCACTTCTGCTCTGTATATAAAGCCTGGCCGCATGCCTATGTCTCAGTCTTGTCGGGCTGACTTTCTTGTACCAAACCTAACTGGCTGATCACATCCAAACTACTTCTTTCTTTTATCTCCAGTGTTACATTTTCTTGTACTGTACTGAAGAAACCTGCCGTGCAGGCGAAATGTTTCTGCTTAACCTCACTTATGCTGCGATATATAAGGTCTCGACGTTGTACAAGAATGGTATAGAATACCGACAAGATACAAACTGAGTCACATGTGCAATATCTGTGTATCCTTATTATAGACGTTTCGTCATCCAGTGGCTTTAGCAATATAGACTCTAGGACATAATTTGAAGACAGTAGAACTATTTACAAAAGATGAGGTAATCAGTCCCTCAGCCTTGGAGTTGGTGTGAAGAGCACCGTAGTCGTGAAGATTCTGGAGCAGAGGCAAGGAGCCTGGCGCTTATATACTAAAGTCAGGTGGAAAGGGAACGTGTAGCAGATGAGGGCATAGTCACTGGTAGGCGGGATTCCCCAATGGAAGTAGGTCGCACCCAAAGGGATGAGTTAGTTGTAATAGTAGATGTAGTAACCGTGAAGGTCATGTAGATGTCCTTGGAACCAAGATTTCATGATGCTGCAGTGTCTGACAAGTTGTACAAGAATGATATACAATACCGACATGATGAAAACTGAGACACAAGGTCTGGACGTATATGTTTGCTTCAGGTGTTAGCGACTGACCACAAGCTGAGGAACTGATTACTTAAAAACTACATCTGTCTCCAGCGTTATATTCGCCTCACTTTGACTAATGAAGCTTGTTGCACGAGCGAAACGTTTCGGCAATAAATATACACAAGTACTGAAAATGTTGGTGTAAGTGTTATGGTGATGTCGATAAACTGTAAGTAAGAGGCGCGTTTCCACTGATCATGACGTATATAAAGGAAACATTTCGCTACACAAATGGCTTCCTCAGACCTAATACAGAGCGAACGATCTGAACGAACAAACTCTCGAGTAAGGAGAAAGCGAAGAAGTGGGGATAGGCAAAGATTACCACCTTAGAAGGATGTCTTCATTCAAAGAAACAAATCCAGCTCCTTCTCCATAGTATACTTAGGGCACTCGACAGGGTTTCTTACAGTCTGGGGCTGAGTGCATGGGCATGTTGTCAATGGCTTTCTCAATCTCTATCGGAGTTAGGGTAATGTCGGAAATCTGGCATACATTAATGGAGTTTTGAGTCTCATTCATGAAAAAAATCATTTGGATTGTCGATCTTGAGACTGATTAGTGGCAAACACAGAGCTGTATTGGGATTTCAATATCTCATCATTTCTTTGTTGCCATCTCTGTAAATTTCCATCTTGTCTGAGGAAGGGCCCGATACTAAATGTGGTATTTGCCTTGTTTTTGGCATATGATAAGAAATATCTCGAATTTTTTTCAATTTCACTGATAGCTTTTAGCTCCTCTGTCCCTCTGGGTCCTGTAAGAGTCCTTTAATTAACTTAAATTCGATACTTTCCACTTCCCTGGTCAGCGGTTCCTTCTTTATATCAGATAATCAACCGATCTTAGGAGCTCAGTTTACTTCTCTTCTTCCTTCTTAGGGCAATATGCCTTGAACATACTTCAGATGGCAGGAAGTTGATCCTTTCAAGGCACTGGTTTGGATCTATGTTATATAAGATATGTTCCCAACATGTTTTATTTAAGACGTGGTTCACCTGGTCCCACTTGATGTTCTTGTTGCTGAAGTTGTATTTGGTGAAGACACCTTCACAGCTTCGTGCAATTTGCTGAACAGGATCCCTGTGCATGTTTGTCTGAACTCCCATTAGATTATGATTGGAATTAGTTGTTTTATATATCTTGTTATGTCTCTTACCAGGTCCTCATTATTTGTGAAGATAAGGTCAAGTGTGTTTTCCAGTCTTGTTGGCTCCACTATCTGCTGACTAACGGTGTGTTTATCGCAGAGATTTAATAACTCATATGTGTGTGACTTTCATCTGCTATTTCTGCTATAACGTTATTTGCTACATTCTTCCATTTCGTATGTCATAGGTTGAAATCACCGAGCAGTAAGATGTTTGGGGATAGAGCTGGAAGGCTTTCCAGACAGTAATCAATTTTCAGTATCTGTTCCTTGAACTGTTGCGAGGTTGCACCTGGTGGCTTATATACAACCACGATGACTAGGTTTTGATTCTCGATCTTTATTGTTAGAATTTCAACTACATCATTTTGGTGTTCAGCATCTCTGTGCAGATGAGCGACTCTTTGACATACAGCCCAACCCCTCCTTGTTCGCCTGTTCTTTCTGTCACACTTAAAAAGGTTGTACCCATTTATCCATATTTCATTGTCAAAGTGATCTTTTGTGTGGGTCTCTGTGAAGGCTGCAAACATCGCATTTGACTCTTCGAGAAGTCCACTGATAAAAGGTATTTTGTTGTTGGTGGATGGCTTAAGGCCCTGTATATTAGAATATAACGAGGTTGTATTTTGTGTTTGTTGGGGGATTTTGTAATTGGCATCAGTAGTTGTAGTTCTGGAGGGCCATGGGTGGCCACTGGCTGTGCCTCCAGTCCAACAAGGCTCCAAGGTGGTGGACTATTTTTGTTATTTCCTTCCATTTCCTTTTTTCGTTTTCCTGCCACTAAAAAATCACTTGGAGTGGGGTTGTCGTGACTGCTATTGTTTGTCTTGCGAGGTCTGTTCCTCCTTGTCCCTTTTAGATGGTATTCAGGGCAGCTGGTGTTATAGCTTTGCCCACCAGGCCACGAGCCACCCTGATAGTTCCTGGACTTGTGTTACACTTGTGATAGTTCCTGATCTGAGTACAGTGATAGTTCCTGGACTTGTGTACAGTTATGATAGTTCCTGAACTTCGTTACAGCTGTGATAGCTCCTGGCTTGTGTTACAACAGTGACGGTTCCCTGGACTTGTGTTGCAGCAGTGGCGGTTCCCTGAACATATGTTACAGCTGTGATGGTTCCTTGCACTTGCGTTACAGCAGTAAAGGGTCCCTGAACTTATGTTACAGCTGTGATGGTTCCTTGGACTTGTATTACAGCAGTCATGGATCCCTGGAGGGCACCTACGGTGGTGCTTGGTGTGGTGGTGGTTCTGTTGTTGCTGGACGCCTGGATGACACCAGTTGTAGCGATTGTCACTTACGGTAATGCCTGTTTCAAGATGAACAAGCGGCTCCCTGTGACCCCCTTCCTGACCCTCACCACTGACACGTTAGTGATGTGCATCGTCTCCTGCACCTCTCGCCAGAACTGTGAAGCTTTCAACTTCAAGGTAAGAATAAGGAAATTGTTTTCACTTTTTTTCCCTGACTTCAATACATCCTCCGCTCCCAAAATGAGAACGTTTTCTCCAGGCTTTCATATCGTTGCAACAGAGGTGATGAGAAATGCTCAGTTTGCTCTTCTCTGACTTATTTATATTTTTAAGATAAGTAGATTAAAAAATATAACCCAAAAATTGGAAAGAAAACATTTGACAACGTTTCAGTCCAAATAAATGAATTATATGAAAAAGAAAGCTGAGAAGATGGAAGATCACTGTAACATTTTTTTTTTCCTCAATGAAATTGTCAATAACATGAGAATTGTCAATAATATGAGAACCAGTTCAGTTACAGCATTGTGTACCAACTTCTAGACAAAGCTGCATCACAGCTGCTCGCTATAAACAATAAGTGATAATGAATCTGTCCAGCTAACTTTTATTAACCCTTAATGTTAGGTCCAATGTTATTAAAAGTCATAAATTTAATTATCTAGATATATTATCATCACCCGATCAAGATACAGTTCTAATTAATGGAAATAATTTAAAAAGAAACAAGAATATTAACTCACAGTGGTAAGCAGCACGAAAGCGGCAACTTTGTTTATAATATCTATTCTAATAGTCCTTATTTGCACTTATGGTATTTTTGAAGATAATTTTTAGGCTATTTTTCTTATTTAATTTTTGGATTTTTTCTTGCTGTGATTTTTTTATTCAATTTGATTATTGGTTCTTGAGCTGATTTGTGACTTGTTCTTACTACAGTTCTATTTATTTTTCTGTATGATGTTCTTCGTCTACTAAACCTTGATTGCTGGCGCCCTCAGCTCACACACTGAGGCTCGTGGTTCGATGCCCGGTACAGGTGAAAACTTTAGGACGTGTTTCCTTAAGACACCTGCTGTCCCGGTTTATTTATTTGTAAAATGGGTACCTGGGTGTTAGTCGACTGGTGTGGGTCGCATCCTGGGGACAAAATTGAGCTAATTTGCGCGAAAATCAGTTGTCACTTTACTCCAATCCTCATAACTGTTTAAATCTAACTTAATCAGTATACTGATGATTTGTAAACTTGCCTTCCCTTACTTAGCACTTTAGCTGATTGAATCATCCCTTGCAAGCCAGGGTAAACTTCAAACATTTTTGTGTGTGATGAATGGTTTTGAAAACCAACAAGTTGAAGAATTGAGACACTCTTGTAGGAAGTGCAGTATAGGGACAGAGAGGTGGCAGTATATAAGCCACCTCCTGGCCTTACTGCATCATACAAAGTGATGGATGTAAAGCATCGATTCCAGGTTGAGGGACTCAGATTCCTCAAACTTTCATCTCCTACCCATCTACTTTGTATTGGATGATTGAAGCCACTGTGTGGCTAAACGTCTCTTCAATAAAGATTCCACAAATATGATTGCATTAAGTGTCTCAATTCTTCATAACATTCTTACTCCAACTCAACTGTATTGGACTGTGAGACCACTTTCGTTTCATTCAAAAGATGTTAAAGCAATAAAATACAAAATATCTAATTATTGTGGCAAAATTAATATTAACTGTATCTTTCACGGAGAGAAACCAGACTTACGTAATGCCAAAAATTTGATCGAACTCTGATTTTTCCATATATTTTGCACCAACGATTTACCCGTTACGGTGACCGGGAAGATAATTCCCAACAAGCCAAAACATTTGGAAACTTTAGAAAGTAGGTGCTAATTCAAGTTCTGAGTCAGTCTGTGTTGTCCTCACGGACACACACACACACACACACACACACACACACACACACACACACACACACAACCACACACACCGCAACACATTTCACATACACACACAACACACTACACATGCACGTACACACACATCACTAGCAAACCTCTACATCATACATGTCACTGACACTACCAGAGAGAGGGGAGGATGAACCAGCAAGACTGGACCTTGTGTTCACCCCCCTGGAGTTCAGCCATTTGGGACTAATTTGAGACCCCCTTGGGGGGGTCACGGTTTGTTTTGATTTTTGAGGTTCAAAGGGAGAAGTAAAACGGGGTTTGAAGGGAAAAGAAAAAAAAAGGGGGGATAAAGGTTTGAAAGAATTTTGGGAGGCAGTGGGACGGGGAAGGGGGAAATTTTCAGTAAACGAAAGAGGAATTAAAACCCAAAAATGTAGAGGGGGAAAAATTTTTTCCCCAACAATAAAAAAACCCCCAAAACAAAAAAAAGGGCCATTTTGCTTTCGGAAATCATGGGTGACTTTAACCAAAAGGAGATGACTGGGAGAATTTGGGAGTCAAAGGGGGGCCCAAAGTACAAAAAAAAGGGGATACAGGGGAATGAGGAAACTTCCTGAAGGATTTCGTGGAAAGAGAAGGGCGGGGCCATTTAAATGAGATATGGAATATGTAGCAAAAATGTGCAAGGAGGTGGGGAGGGGTTTTTGTACCAAGGGAAACGGAATAATAAAAAAGGGTGACCCCATGGTTCCCCAAAGGTGCAGGGGGCAAAAACCAAGTGTGCTGGGGGAATGGAAGAAATATAAAAGGAAAAGGGCCCCAGGAGAAAAGGGACAGCGTGACCCAGAAACGAAATTGACAGATAAGAAGGGGTCCCAACGAAAATATGAAAACGACTAGCAGCAAAAGCCAAATCTGACCCAAAATGTTATACAGCCACATCGGGAGGAAACAAACAGTAAGGCCCAGGTAATTATGTAAACGGAAGGAGGGAGAAAAAGAAATACCGTGAAGTATTGAGGAACCAACAAGAAATTTAAAGAGGTTTTTTCCAGAGGAGAAGGGGCCCCAAAAGACGGCAGGTGGGGCACACCCCCAAGGGGGGCGGGGAACATACACACAACGAGGGAGAAGGAAAGGTTCTGATTGAGTTGTTACCTCAAGGAAATGGGGCCAGTACATCCCCCCATGGGTCCTGAGGGGGGGGGGGGGTGCTATGTGTACCCTAACAACAATTTAAATCATCTATCGAAACAGGGGTTTCCTGAGGAGGGAAAGCAGAAATGTAGTCCCATCTTTAAAAAAGGAGCAGACTGAACACTAAACTACAGACCAGTTCTGAATGTATAGTATGCAAAATCAGGGAAAAGATTATCAAGAGAAGAGGGGTGGAAACCTAGAAAGGAATGATTCATCAAGGGGAAAATCCTGTGCCCACAAACCTACGGGGAGTTCTATGACATGGTGCCCCAGTAAGCAAGAGGAGAGGGTTTGGGGGTGGATTGCATTTTCTTGGCTGCAAAAAAGGCTTTTTGACACGTTCCACTCAAGAGATTTTGAAAAAACTGGAGGACCAAGCAGGGAAAACAGGGAAGGCATACAAGGTCGGGGGAAATATTTTTTGGAAAGACAGCGTGGTCTGGTACGTGGCGGGGTGTCAGAGTGGGAAAATGTGCCCCAGCGGGGGTTCCCCGGGGGGAGTCCTAGGACCGTGCTGTTTTGGTTTTGTAAACGCATGAGAAGGGAATGACCCCGAGGTGTCCTGTTTGCGGGGGCGTGAAGTTGACGATCGAAGCCCAAAAAGAACTAAAAAGGGGGATTGGACAGGCTGCGACCTGGTCCAGAAATTTGCCCCCTGGAGTTCATCCCACAAGTGCAAAGTCATGAAGATTGGGAAGGGCAAAGAAAACCCCAGACGGAGTACAGTCTAGGGGGCCCCAGAGATAAAAACCTCACTCAAGGAAAAAGATCTTGGGGGAGTTAACCCAGGAATTCCTGAAGCGCACATCAACCAAATAATGCTGCAGCATAGGGCGCCTAGCAAACCCGACAGTTCGAAACTTAATAAGGGGTTTGTTTAGAAATTGCACCCTGACGTTTTTGGGCCCCTATTGGCCCAGTACCTAGTGCGACATGAAGAGGCGGGCCCGGAGCTTGACTTGACCCCCCCAACCTTTAATGGTGAGTACAGCTAGGTGAGACACAAACACACCCCGTACCACACACAAACACAAACCACACCCCACAACACCCCACACACCACCCCACACACAACACACACACACCCCACACCACCACACGAAAAAAGGGGGGCAAAAAAATAAGGCTTGAGAAAGGAAGGGTACGAAGAAAAGAACCCGGAAAACAAAAGATCGCGAGAAGCCCAAAAAAAGAGTAGCCAGATAAAGGGGGGGGCCCAGCGACAGAATAAAACGACTTTATCAAAGTCAAATTGACCCCAAATGCTGATAGCAATTTTGGGAAAGCAACAGTCAAAGACTAGGTGATCAGGTGAGGAAAAAAGGTGGGGAAATCACAAAAAACGATAAAAAGATTGTAGGAGTGAACAAGGATTTTGAAATTTTACATGGAGGCAGTAAGGACTTGGGAAGAAAGGGCAGGGGGGGACCCAAAAGGGGAATTCACCCAAAAAGTGTTGGTGAAATACACAAATGAGGAGGAGTGAAGAAGCTGCTAAGTGCCTTTTACCTCAAAAGGGAATGGGACTGGACAACATCTCGCCCTAGGTCTTAAAAGGGAAAGGAAGCAAAAAAGCTGTGTCCCCCTTAACCCCAAATTTTAACCTCCCTTGAACGCGCCCCCTACCCGAGGTAGGGAAGACGGCAAATGTAGTTCCCTTTTTTAAAAAAGGGCAGAAATGAAGCAATAAAAATATAGAAGTGTCATGACGTGTGTGATGCAAATCATGGAGAAGATTAAGGAGGAGAGTGGGGGGAAAACCCGGACGAACAAGTTTTTAAATACAGCCCGACGGATTCAGGAAAACCTGTTCACAAACCCACAGAGTTTCATGACAAAGGGAATGAGTAAAAAATGGAGGGGGGAAAGGGTTGACTGCTTTTTTGGGCTGCAAAAAAGGCCCTTTAAAACCCGTTTAACAAGAGGGTGAGGATAGGCAATATAAAAGAAGGGGACTGCAATGGATCGAAAAAAACCTAAAAGGGAGACAAAAAACGAAACATGGTCCGGATGAGGTTTACAGTGGGCACCCTTTACGAGCGGGGTCCCCCCCGGGGGTCAGTCCCG